TGAACATTTGAAAATTGCCCTGTTCTGACTTTTTTCTAGTTCTGTCTAGAACTTGTAATGCTAATTACCCTTGCCTTTACTTCTCCTTCACATCCCCTAGTCACTAGTCAAGTACTTTCTTTTCCCCATACAGACAAGAATTATGCAATTTGGGAGTCTTTTAGATAGACCACTAAAGGGGTATTCCAATTGCCTCACCCTGCGTCCCTGTTCAGCATGGAAGAGCGTGACATAGTTTCTTTGTATTCATCTACCACCTCTGGCTCTTATAGTATTTTTTCTTCCTCTTCCACAATGATCTCTGAGCCTTTGGAGGAAGAGATATTCTTAAATGTATATATCACACATTCTTTCTATATTCCAACTGATAGAGATTTGGTTGTAATCAGTTTTTCTCATTACAAATATAACTGCTAAAAAGTATTTGGGAGCTTTTATCTAATCCTGAAAAGATTTTAGGGTTACCTCTTCAGAGGGAGGAATGTTAGAGGAGCCAAAAGCCCCATTAAAAAAAATAAATAAAAGAAGAAGAAACAGAGGAAGTGTTCTCAAGATATGTGAACCAATATTTTAGGACCAACTTCTCTTTTCCAACAGAATCTTTACAGAATTGTAGATAAGACTACAAGTCCTGGATCTAGCTTTCTATCATCTTTCAGAGTGATTGTATAATGAATTAATACATGTAAATAATTCAGTGTAGAGCTTGTTCCATAATATATGTTAAAATATCTGCTTTTACTAAGAAAAAAAAGAATTTAAGAAGTCAATGGATGAAGTAGCATGAAACTTTTAAGACAGTACTGATGCTGCTTTTGAATATCTCTACTAAAAATAAAGTTTTGAGTATGCACCACAAAAAATATATATATTTGGAACCAAGTGACCTGCCTAGAAAATGACTTCAGTTATAAATCAATTCCTGGCTTACTGATTACTTTTTCCATTCACTTTTTTATTGGTGAATATTAGTTATACAAGTAAGAGGGTTTTATTATGATGTTTTCATACATGTGTATGGTGAACTTTGATCATTTTCACCCGGTCAACCTCTTTTCCCTTCTCCTTTGCTGGTCTTTCTTCTCCCTTCCGTTTTCATGGCCTTTTTTTTTCATATTCGAGAAAATGTGACACTTGTCTCTGTGTCTGGCTTATTTTGCTAAATATGATGATTGCCAGTTCCATCCATTTTTTTTGCAAATGACAAAACTTTGTTTAGTTTTATGGTTGAATAAAATTCCACTGTTACTATGCTACAAAAAATAGATTAGGATAGCGCAGCTCTCTGCGCTGGGACTCCCTAAGCCACATTCACCCTTCCATCCCTCCTGCCGTTCTATACTCCTAGTTTGGGCCCTGCGCCATTCCTAGTCTTGGGGCCCCAGACACCTAGGGAACCAATACTGCTTCCTGACCCTTCTCACCCAGACCAACTCAGTGCCTTTCTTGGGCCCCAGGAGCACCGCTTCTGGTCTTGGCCCCGCCCTCACCTCCCTCTACTTCCCTGGTCCTGGAACACCCGCCAGCCTCTTTCTGGGGCTCCGAGGCTTGCTTTTACTCTCCCTGATCCTTTGCATCCAGTACACCCCAGCGACTCAATCCAATCCCTGAGAAATCTTGGGGCTTCTTCCCGCCCCATCTGCCTTTGCATCCCTATGTGGCACAGCCACGGCCAGGGTCTCAGGCCAGTCCAACACCCAAGTTCCTGAGGCCAAAATCATTCTTAGAAGATTCCAGACCTAAGGAGAAAGTCTGAAAACTTCTGATCCACATTGGAATTGGGCCACCGCGGAACTCCTGAAGACAAAATCAA